AGATGTATCGTTGTACCAAAATTGGACGCCCTCTTTTAGGACCCTGTCAACCATAAGGTACAGTATGAGTAATAAAGCTATGGGAGAATTCACGCGTATGGGAGACTATTAAAATTACACACATGCACGCATTACACACGTAAAAACGTACAACTCGTACCCTGCAGCAGCTTGGCTTTGTAGTTTGTACCAACGTTTTTTCAACAACTTGTCATCAGGATGTATTCGCACTGCTTGTTCCCAACTTTTTGACAAGTTGTCAAGGGTTTGTTGGCAACTTGCTACAGTATATGCTGTACAAGGTTGTTTCAAGTTGTTCCAATAACTTGTTATCGTCTTATAATTCAACAAGTTGTTAACAGTGTGAGTGCATGACACTGTGATCTTGTTGCAACCTATTATTGACAAGCTTGCTATTTATCTTTATATTATCTTCGCAAAAAATCTCAAAATCCTGCCAGAACTTATAAAATTCCTAAAATCCCAGAAAATTACCAAAAAGACCAAGTCGGTTGAGAATTTCGCAAACGGGATCCCGATTTAAATGCCAAAAATATGTCTAGTCGTACACGCTTTTTTCAGAGTAATACATGCACGCCTTGGCCTTGCTATTCTCCGTGAGTTGTAAGCAAAATATACCGCGTGCATTACTCAGAAATTTGAGAAAATCTGCTTATAGTATATAACTCACTTAGATTATATATACTGTCTATAATTCAGAATTTGGTGCATCCAACAAGGGCTGTCATCTTATGGTTTTCAATTTCAATGAGTCAAACACTCCACAAAGTAATGTAAGCAGCTTGATGATTCTGCATTACTGAACATTCTAATCCTAGTTCCTTCAATTTCTGATGTAGCCTATATTTCACAAATCATATTATTCTAACCATTAGAGCAGCTTGGTGACCTTCTCCAACGTGCGCAACATTTTCATAGTACTCATTTTCCAACATGCTTCTCTTTTCCGTAATGTCCTCTTGCCATTTTTTCTGAGAAAATGATAGAAAGTAACAATTGAATATATAATATCAACTGCAGATACAATAACTTTCGTTGGACCGGGATAATGTGTATTTTGAGAACGGAAATAGGGTGCAAGGAAGAAAGATAGTGGGATTCCAAGGGTTTTCATACACAAGATTCCAGATTAAGATCTTTACTGCATGGTTGTGAACCCTTATACTGTATATTTCAAAATCTGTACTTTAAAAAACACATTACATCATACATTACAGTCTAACCTTTAATTCATTTTCCAAGATATCGATTTCTTTCTTTTCTTTTTCCTTAAATTTCTTGCGAGCTCTACTCGCCAGAACTTTCTCTTGTTGTCTTACCTAGATAAGCAAATAAAGCAAATGAATGTAACTCATAGTGCTTATACTCTAAATTCTCCAATTAATTGGGTAACAATACCTGTTGAAGACGTAATTTACGGAGTTTTTGTTTTTCATCTTCGAGCAGCTTTATCTAAAGCGTAAAGTATTTATAGAAATATTTAATTACTAAATAATATATTTCCTCGTCACCGATACTTCTATTTTTTCTCAAGAAACTGTAGGCGGAGGGAGTTTGAATCCTAATACAATTTAATTGCCATGCAAAAAGTTGTTAAAGGAAGTTGGTTACCCTAAAATTGCTGGAATGTGTCTAAGTATTTTTTTTCACAAACTAAGTCTAAGGTATACTGAATATAAAATAATAGTACTGGTCTAGTAGTTTATTACCAAGGTTCGGTCTTTTGAACATTACAGTATAACCTCAAGTGACCTTTACCAGATACATCTACATTGTCATTTGCTTGGTCGCATCGTATTTGTCGTTCCCTGCCAAGTTTTAATTATTGGGGAGTTAAAGTGATCGTATTGGGTGTTTGCCACACCCTGGTAGAAATCTTGAACAGAATCTTAACAGGGATCTTAATTGGGTCTTGTTAGGATTTTAATTTTTGAGATCTTAGTAGCATTCCATTGGGATTTTGAAATGATCCAATCAGGATCTTATTATTAGGATCCTAAAATGTATTGGATCACGTAAGATATTGTGTACTGTAGGATGGTATAGTATAATATCTTATAAGTGTATAGGTAATAGTATCGTTTCGAGTGTAATTTGGGAAAAACATGCACAAGTGAGTTTTTCAATGACGATCAAAATTGCACGAGTCCGAAGGACGAGTGCAAATTGAAGTCTTTTTTTCTAAATTGCACGAGAAACCATACTATTACTTATTAATAGTATGATGAAAAAATTATGCAGTCACATGCGTGCGTAGGTCACATGCGAAATAGTTAATTTTAATCAGTATAAATAATTAATAGAAATCTACTAAAAACGCCAGCCATTTTTGATACTTGAAAATAAATGTTTGGCCTTTGGGTTTTTTGTATTATTTTCCCCTAGAAATGGCTGTATCTTATAGTTAATTCATTTTTGGCACTGTATTTCGAAAAAGTTGCACTGCTCTTAGTCAATCAGAATTGAGAAATTTTTTCATGTACTGTATATTATTAGGCCTGTAACACTACACCAAAAAGTAGACATAATTTTCTTGTGTTGGTATTATTGTACTCAGGGGAATATGATGTGTATGATGTTACTCGAATGTGTTTCCACACCGGGCAAGCTTGAAAATATGCCTTGCCACGGTGGGAATCGAACCTATGACCTTTGGAATACTAGCCCAATGCATTGTCAGGCATATTTTTCAAGCTTGCCCGGTGTGGAAACACACAAAAAGTAGACAATTATTAAGGGGCTCAGGAAAAGAGCAAAAGGAAAAATCCTGCATACTATTAGGTACATTAAACATTTGAGATCGTTAAATATTTGCACACAGCAAGTTTAATAAAATAATTCTTGATTGCTGAATATTTAACATTTATTGAATGAAGTTGAACATGATAATTACGAAGAATTATTGTTAGCCCAAAGTTTGTGTTACCGGTACCAGTGACCGAAGGCTGCACGAGGTTGATAACACAAACTGAGGGTGATAATTCTTCATATCTGGCAAAAACTGAATTTCAATAATTGTTTCCCTGTGGTAACCTGAATGTCAGGCCTTTTGAAAGGCCTGACATTCAGGTTACACCTGTGGGTTCAATTAATCGAAATAATGACTAGTTCCTTTTCTTTCTTTTTTCTTTCACATATATGTCAAGATGTTTCAAAACCTTTTGTAGCTGTTTTCATTGAAATTCCTTCTTTATAGCTTTATAGTTTAAAAGTTCTTCAAACGTGAGAATACAATTGAAGGCAGCGCCATATTGTTTTTGGTTGTTTCCACATTTCGTATTTGTATTCCCAAAGCATGGCATCATAACATTGAATATGTTTTTCATATCAACATTATGCCGTACATGTCACACCATTGAATATTATATCAAAACTTCATATTTGGTCAGCTGCTGAGTTGATATGACGATTTCAGAGTAAGGCTGTTCTAGCCAATCAGAAACCATGAATCTTTTAAAGGCCATGTAAAGTCCGTAATGTAAACAAACGCTTTGTTTACATTTTGAGCTCAGTTATATAGTTGTAAAATATGATTAGATATAAATTATACTGCATTTTTAACACTCTTCTGGTTCGCTATGCTTGTAAATGAATACAGACTGGAGATTCAATTCAAGAAAGTTGGGAAGGTGCGAAATATTAATAACATTCCAATTAGCCTGCGTGGCAGGTCCTCAATTTAATGGGGGGTCTAGCTGATTTGCAGCGGGCAGGATTTTGGCGATTTTTGATCCTGCCCGCTGCAAATCAGCCCCCATAAAATTGAGGGCTTGCCACGCAGGCTACATTCCAATGGTCGGGTCCCGACCATTGGAATGTAAGCCTGCGCAGAACGTATGTGCAGAACAGACTTCAAATGGTCTTTAAGTAAATAAGGGGCCACGTCCATATTCATGTAAATTCATTCAAATTTTATTCAGTATACTACCTAGGCCTATTAAAATAATATTTCTGTTTTTCATAATTTGTTTGGAATATAATTGGGGCGGGTGGGCGGAATTTTTTTTCCTTTTTGCACCTATCTATTTTTTCTTTTTATATACATCATTCAGAGTAGCATTATCTGCCACTCTTGCACCTATCCTGGGCTTCAAAACCTGCGCACTAGAACTGGTTTGCGTGGCGGTGGACTGCGTGGTTGATTGAACACTGAAGTATTATGAAAATATCAAAAACGACAGCGCATCATGGCGCCCACTGCTTGGTATCCGATTATTTTCCGTCGGCTCCCAACAAAAACCGAGAATAATATTTTAAAAAAATGGGTGGCCAAATTTTCAGGGGCGGGCAGCGATGAAAAACAGAAATATTTTTTTAATAGGCCCTACTAGAGATTTTTTCACACGATGAAGATTGCCTTTTTCAATAAATAAGATCCTAAATTTTTTCATAGGATCCTACTTTTTTCACCATTGACTCATGAAAAAATAAAGCAACCACAAAAATACCAAGGTAGCAAACCTCTTCATTTGGGCTTGGTCTCAAAAACATTCGGTTGTTCATATCTTGTTTCTTGCCCATTGTACCCTTTCAAGTTCTACATTATTTTTTCATCTTTTGGTTTTCCTATTAAGAATATAACAAGGAGTGTTAAAAACAAAGTCAACTATTTTACTGTAATATATAAATATAATTTTATAAGGAAGACAAATCCAGTTACAGTAATACCAGACTCACCAGTAAAACGATAGTAAAACGATTATCATTGATTTATTACTTCAACTATTTCTTCCTTGTTGCGCTCGGCGGCAATAAAATCTTCATACAGTAAAGAAAAATGGTGCAATTTCATCCAAACCATCGAAGAGAAAACAAATTCATACTACATGAAATTTTCTGACATTTTCGCCATGTTTGAAAATTCGCGCTTACCGAGGACTTTCCGTTGAATGACGACAATATTCGGCAGCCAATGAGAGCTCACCACGCCAAGCGATATTTACCACTGGATATTTACCACATCATCTTTTTGAGGAGTATTTAAATTAATATTTTCATTTTTAAATCGTAATGTATAAAGTTTGTTGTTGAGAAAGGGTTCAAAAATGTCGTGGATTGCTGTTTTTATGTACATAGCCTTAGATTTCGGTCAGTTTGGTAAGTACGCTTCAGAATTAAAGAAAACTCGCATGTAAACAAAAATATTACTATCTAGCGATACTAGCATACACATAAAATGACATTTTCAAGCCTTTGCACCGGGCGCAGTATTATAACATAGTTTTCTGTATTTTGGTAGTTCATGGGGCAAGTGAAGAGGTAAACCAACATCTTGCAATGGGAATGAAGTTGGTTTCAGCTGGACAATTATCTGATGCACTGTCACATTATCATGCTGCCGTAGGTAAATGTCAGTCATGTCACATATCTAGTAGATATCATGACAGACTCATATATCCATGGACCCGGTAATAGTGCACAAATACAGTTTATCCATACTTCTTCAACTGGAAAAATTATATTATTTATATTACAATCTCTGAGAAGTATACAAATATACCTATGTTTTCCTAGTCGGCAAGTCTTGCAGGTACATTACGTACACAAGTATAAATTTAAACCTGTGTTGTGGTATTAATAGCACAAATCTGACAGTTTTATACAAGTGTTTGGGGTGACCATGACTGTGTAAGCTTTCATACTGTTTTACATCCTACATCCTTTGTAAATTTCACATGCACCCTATAGTTGCCATGAGTCGATCAGCAGGTGCATCCTAGTGCCAATCACATGGGTGGCTGAACCAGGGGGGGGGGAGGGAATTAGAAGTAGAAAATTGGGAACAAAGCCCCTCCAAAAATAAGGAATATCAAATATTCATTATTCCTCATTATGTGGCTTGAAACAGTTGTTGGTGGTTCAGGTATTAAAGATTTCTGGATGTCAAGTTCTGTCTGTATGTTTTAATTACAACCTAGAAAATGACTTTTCGAAGACATTAGATTTCAAAATTTTTAGCAACAATTCACAAAGCAAATCATTGCTGAGCCGATCAAATTTCATTTGACATGATTTGCAATGTAAATTATAGGTAACAATTGTCCTGTAGGACTTTGATGACAATACAAAAAAGTCTATTTATTTAGCCTTTCTCATGCCATACAGTCAGGCCTTATCTGCCATTTTTAGTTGGCAAACTGCATGTACATGGCAACCTGTCAAGGAGTGAATTTAAGCACTTTGAAAGTTGAAACACAGTACTTAATTGTTAATAGTACCATATTGTATAAATATACTCACTAAATCACCCTTCTTACTGGCATTTTTTGCACCTACCATGAAATGTCATGCATCTCCCCTTGGGAAAGGTTAAATTATGATAGATCAAAGTGAAAATTTCACAAATTTTTATGTTACTCTTTGTAAGAACGTTTTTTCTGTAAAATTGAAACACAGTAATAACCAACCATCTCTGTGTCAAGAACCTTTTTAATTAATACTGGAAACTGCTCCATTCACTGTTTGGAGCACTCCGGATTTTCGGAACACTAATTGAATCAATTGAAACCAAAAGCGGTCACATGTATGACTGTTCTGTCTGCCCCTGCTCAAAAGTAGGGGCGGCCAGAACAGTTATGTGACCATCAGAACAGTCATGTGACCGTCAGAACAGTCATGTGATCATTATTGGTTCGATTTAATTAGTGTTCTGAAAATCCGGAGTACTCCGAACAGTAAATGGAGCAGCCTCCAAAATTTTGACAGAAAATTGTTGTGTAATGTAATGACCTTTCATTACAAAAAAGGTACATATGGTTAACAGGGTCTTAGCTAGGATTTTGGATCTTGGGCGTGTTTTTAATGACCAGTGTGTGCACGTGTCAATTACTTTGAATAGTCAAATTCATAGTTCTATAGTTATACCAGACAATGCCTGTGGTTGTTGTATGCTTTGCAACCAAATACAAGGTGAGCATACGCTCATATAGCGCAGTGACATTAGAATATTAAGTTATTTCAGCAACTCTTGGGGGTATTAAAACCATTTTAACACCATACAGTTCCCATTATCCTTGAGACACTTTTGCCAATTTCAATAACAACAGCAGTAGATTTTACAAACTTTCTTACGATGTAAATTGGAAGAAATTCTGTCTTTTGTAAGTACTGTAGCACCACCTTATTTTATGAACATACACGTACGGCCTTATATAAATAATGAAGCCACGTTCATTTTAATGTAGCCGTGTTTTTCCACTTTTGGCCGCAATAACACGGCCAACACGGCCCTCTAGCTAAGACCCTGATGGTTAACACTGTTACATATGTACGGTACATGCATATGTCATGTAGTTGCCTTTAGTGGGGTGCATTCTGATTTTTATTCTACAGGTATAGCATAGAAAATAGCTTCACTGACATGCCACTAATGGTGCTAATCTACCCATGCATGGGCTCAAGTGGGTTGAGCACATGCACTGACATATTAATTTATTTTATATTGTAGAGGGTGATTCTTCCAATTTTTTAACTTATTTCAAAAGAGCCACAGTCTTGATGGCGATGGGTAGATCACGTTCAGCATTGCCAGATCTTGATGAGGCAATTAAATTAAATCCAAAATTTTCACAGGTATCGGTATTGAATTTATTATTTATTTCATTGCATAAAAAACTTTAAAATGTAATAATTAAAGCTAATATGTTTCATGGTTAAAGTCTGTGGATGTTTTTTGGGATATGAATAATATTGGAAAAAATAAACCATATAAGCACCCTGGCATACTGCACACCATTTCAAATGGTGTTGGCAAAAAGATTTGCTGCTGTGAGATATTAACATCTAACACACTCG